AAAAAAAAAAAAAAAAAAACGTTATTGGATTCACGTACTTGAATCAACCGCCCAATCAAAGAAGGGGCATCAGAACAGATACAGGAAATAAAGTTTTGTTTTGTGGTCTTCTGTGTTGGTAAGGAAGGAGCTTCACATATTTGTCGAGCCATGGTTTGCAAATTAATTGAGTGGTCATGTAAAATGGTTATAGAAGCAAATGAGATTCATTAATGTCAAATCTTGAAAATATAGTTCATCTTGAAAATGGTTGCATTTTTGTTCATAACTTTCATAGGAACTGCAATTATTGGCTATTATTTATTAAATGCAGGACGGATAATGCAATCAAGAATCACTGGAACAGCTCTCTGAAAAAGAAGCTAGATTTCTATCTTGCCACCGGAAATCTTCCTCCAGTTGCTAAGAATGCCTCCATAGAAGGTGCCAAAGAAATCGATAGGACCGTCTCAGATGGCGAACTGCGTCTTAATCCAACTAAATCAGATTCAGCCATCTTGGCCTCAACAGAAACTACTGATTCATATAAAACTCAGGACGGTAAGCATAATAATAACCATCCAGAGGCCATGACCAAAGATCACGATATTACCAATCTCGATACCGAACAGCGAGGACCAATACCATTAGAAGCTGAAACAATCCATTCAAATGTGGAATCTGAGTTTGAGAAGTGCAAATTAAATCGAAATGTTGATGGACATCATATTATTGGAGCAAATACTCCAGTACGTGGCACACTGTACTATGAGCCACCAAATATAGATGATTGCAGTCAGCTTGATTCACATCTGGCGAATATATCATTGATACGTTCGGAATTGGATTTTAGCCTTACTAGGTCACCCATGCTTCTTTTCACTCCACCGAGCTCAAACTGTAGAAGGCCCTGCACACAAACTCCGGAATCTATATTGAAAATTGCGGCAAAGAGCTTTCCAAATACACCATCCATATTAAGGAAAAGAAAGTCCCAACTGGATCCAAAGGAAAGCGCCGTATCTAATGGTGAGCATAGTAGTGACATTATTAATAGTTGTAAGAGAAGTGGGGAAAAAGATGGTACTACGGAGCTTTCTTGGGACGATGATGACAGGTTAAGCAGCCACAAGTCGTTTAATTCATCCCCTCCGTATAGATTGAGTTTCAAGAGGACTTCGGGACTTAAATCAGTCGAGAAGCAGCTCGATTTTGCTATTACCATAGAGCAAGAGTGTAAGGACCAGAATGCAAAATCTGGAGAGGTAGGGGAAGAGGAGGTTAAGGAGATCCCTCCTGCAACAAAGTTTGTCTACACGCGTCAAAGACGAGGGTAATTTATTGATCTCTGTTATTCTCTAAGTGTTTTGTTATTGGTAATATACTTGCACACTTTTCTGTTTGCCAACACATGTAAGGTAGTGATACTTTCGTAGTTGTGAGTAGATTTGTAATGAAGATATCCCAAATTATCTGTCATTCTACAAAAATTCTGAATTATCGTAAACTAGTTGTAAATGGCTTATTTGTCCTTGTTTAAGCCAAATAGTTAGTGTTCTCTGGCCATATTGGCCAAATTGTTTGTGTTCTCCTTGCAAAGCGTAGTTAGTTAAAGTAGAGATGTTAGATTGGCAAGAAAAACGAGAATTTGAAAATTTTGAATTCCTGAAGTGATAGTTATTTTGGGAAGATTTTTCTATGGTGTTTGCTTATGGAAACACTGGTTATAAGAAAATACTAACTTGATGATCAAGTATACGAAGATGTATTTTATGTTTTGGTCGAATACTAACTTCATGGTGTTTTTAACATGATTTGTTGTCATAACTAAAGGTTAGACATGGTTATAAAATAAACGAACTTGATGATCAAGTACACAAAGATGTTGAGACCTCTGATTCTTTTGTATCATAAGTTCTTGTTTTCCTGGCAAACCTCTAATAAATAGTACCATCGCTGCTGGCTGCTTCTCGTAATTTAACATTGTCATCAGTCATCACAGCCGATTAAACAGTTGTTGGTTTCTCGTTTTTTGCAACATTTTTAAGCTTTCTCCTCCATTTTTTTTGTATTCTATTTTCTCTTTCATCATGGACTTTGATGTTTTGTACTCATTTGCTTCATTTTACTGGTTTCCATTTCTTCACCAGGTGACAGAATGTATAAATAGGGGAATGAAGTTGAAGGCTAATGAAGGTTTTTGGACATTGTTGCACTCAGTAATTTATTAGATTTTCTCTCTCTCTCTCTCTCTCTCTCTCTCTCTCTCTCTCTCTCT